ATGTGTACAAAACCTTTCTGTTCTGGAAGCATATGAATGAAAAACAGCACTATTCTGTCAGTGATACTGGAAATAAGTAATGTACATTAAATGGGATATAACTGTTGTATTTAGGTAGCATCTTATTACTAATACTTTAAGAAGAAAATTGCATGTTTCTTTAAACATTTTGATTCGTTTTCTCTTATCTTGTTTTTCTGTATACTAAGTGAAAAGCAGTAGTTGGTCGTAATCTAAAATTTGATACATAACGTGAATGAAGACCTAGATCTGAAAAAAGATGAAGCAGTACTGGCAAGCCTATGGCATACGTGCCACAGCTGGCACACAGAGCCTTTTCTGTGGGTATGTGAGCCATAAGTCGCCATCGAAAAATACTTGCCCATCCTCTGATCCCGGATTTTGGCACTCCCCTTTGCTGGTGCAGTGGTCCAGCGGAGGGGGGTGCAATGGCAGCCATTATCAGTCTAGCCTGACAGGATTGTGGGGCCAATAAGTATTTCTCTGTTAATACTGGCCGCAGAAAAAAACACAAGCATTTAACCCTTGCAGTATAGGGGCAGTTGTTTTTTCTAAACTAAACCTCAGTATTCAGGTTTAATTGCAGTGCTGGCACTTTGAAATAAATAAGTTGGTTTTGTGATGCAGTTTGGGCACTTGGACTTTAAAATGTTCGCCATCACTGAGATAAAGCATGCTTTGCATTTACTTTCACAATGATGTTTGAAGATGATTTTTATATGTTCATATCTATGTAAATAACTACTCTATACTGTATGCTGCACGGATTTTGGAAGGTTTCTTATAGGTTATCATTGTTAATTCTGCGTTATGTATGCCTGAACATTTCACCCCTTTCTCCTCTGGGTCAATGGTTCTGATCAGCATGTCAAAAGACTTATTAACCAGACAAGCTAAGAAGAGCCACAGTGAGTGTAAACAGTTTCCGCAATCTGTATGTTGACCTTCAGGAACTCTTTGTCCCTTCCTGTATTTTATTCATATACTCACTACAAATACAGTGATGCCTCGCAAGACGAAAATAATTCATTCCGCAAGTCGTTTCGTATTGCAAAAATTTTGTCTTGCTGAGCATGGTTTCCCATAAGAATGCATTGAAATTTAATTAATGTGTTCCTATTCATCTTGCGAAGCATGGCCATAGAAAAATTTGTCTTGCAAGTCACCAAAAAAAAAATCACAAAACACTTCTGTCTTGTGAGTTTTTCATTGTGTGAGGCATTCGTCTTGCGAGGCATCAGTGTATGCACTAACATGCTCACAAAACTATGTGAGTTGTGTGAAACTGAAGGGTTGTTGTTATAGAAGGTAGAGACTGTCATAGGTACTGAGTTTCAGATTGACTCATATTTTCTAGCCATATTCAAATGAAAGGAAAAAAAACTGTAGGTGTTCAAAATAATGGGAAATAATGTGTAATCTTTCACTCAATGTTTCCTATGGTGAAAGGTTTTCATTTATCTTAAGGGCATAATAATGACTCTCTGCAGGGAAAACCTACCCAATCAACACCCTAAACAACTGAAACATTGTTGCTTAGCTTTCTCATTTTCTAAATATTCATTTCTTCAAGTTCTTCCTTGTCTTAATTTGTAGTCCTACTGCTGGTAACTATGCAGTCTTCAGCTGTAGTCCTCCTGGTAAGGGAAGGGGAGCAAACATTTCCTCATGATCCTTATCACACAGTGACTTGATCCTCAGATTGCTTATCCTAGTTGCTGAGGGTAGTGGAACTATTCTGGAGTTCTAGGCACTACAACTCACCATTTCAAAATTACATAAATGACATGGGTTTTTTTCCAAAAATGGAAAAAACTTCCTTCATGACATAGTATTTCAAAATCAGCGTAGTCCTTTATTAGTTAGAATTGTTCAGTCATTGCTGAACCCCTCTGATACTTCTTCTGAGTTGTCACATCACACAGTGCTTGAAAGAGGCACCAAACGTGACCATGTGTCTTAGAAGTATTACCACAATTCTACAACAGACATAATCCAGGGACTTGAAGAATCATTTCAATAAGTTGGAGGGGTTTCCTATATTATTTGATCTCTTTTGGCTCTCTTTGCATGTAAATCTGTGCATGTACGCTGGTATGCAAATGTAGTGAAGGGTTTACATGCAACTCCACATTTTGAAAGAACATGTGAGGATGTTTATGAGGCATGTGGGCTTGCTACTCTGCAGGTTATGGCTCCATCATGTCTTATAGTAACACACTCTTGTCATCTGTGTCTTTACCCAGTGGGTGAAGGGCTTCAGCCCAGTTACATCACATAAATCAGCTAAGTTATAGCAGCCTCGTGTGTTCTTGCAGTACCTGGGAGGGAACATTTGAATCCCACTTCACTAGGGACCATTTCTGCCATTACATTTTTCAGTTGAGCTTTGAAAATACATGTAAACCAAAACTGGCCTAAAGTATTCGTGTTTGTAACATCAGAATCTTCATATGTTAGAACGACCAAATGTGAACAGAAAACCTCGAGTCACCCACCATTCTGTGGAGGCATTCACTAGCCAATTTTTATTGCTACACACTGTATCATAATGCATTTTAATACAAATAATGTAAAATAGGCATGTATTGAAATACAGTGGTGCCTCGCAAGACGAATTTAATTCGTTCTGCGGTTAGT